TGTCAAAGCACAGAGGGAGAGTGGTGGGTCACACTGACAGGTGAGTAAGGGCAAGCTATCAGTAAGAAGGGAGTCACCCAGAGGAGAGGAAAGTGAAACCCCCTGAATCCGTGGTGATCCGGTCCCCGGGAACACTGAGCTCCAAGCTTCCTGGGGTCACCTGGAATGAGGCCCAGATATCACCCTTTGCAGCTAGTCCTCACTGGCAGGGTCATCGCTGTTCTCTCCCAGTGGAAACTCCTTTGTGGGCTTCTGGACTGTGTACATCTGGGTCTCTGTGGAGCACTCCTGGTTCAGAATTGCCTGGAGCAAGAGGTAAGTATAGAGATTACTGTGTATCATAGGCCATCCTGTTTCGTGTCCACACTAACACATCCAAGCTTGGTGTTACTTAGAACAACTCAAGATGCAAGTATAGCACCCTCTTTCTGCCTCATGTGTAGGTTCAGGCCTTTCAAGGTACTGGGGCATATCAAGTCCAGTCAGGACAAACATCTGATATGCTTGTGCTTGAACCCTAGCATCAGTATGTGTAAGACGTAGCAAAAATTGGCGGAAGTGGGCACCCTTCTCCACAGACCTTCCTGCCTACTTCCATTTCTTTGAGCATCTTCTACATCTATCCTGAATCTATGAGGCATCTAGGGCTGCTGGGATACAGTGTGCAGGATCTTTTACTTGGAGACTATTTTTTAACTTTAAAAGACAAGGCCTGAGCTGAGAGATGTCTCAATAGGAATGAGGACTTGCCCTGCAAGCATAAGGACTGAGATTGAATCCCCAGCACCCATATAAAAGACTGCTTTGTTCACAGTCATATGACTGTAATTCTAGAACTGATGGGTAGAGGAAGACAGGTCTTGGGAGCTCACTGGACGGACAGACAGCCCAGAATAAAGGGCAAGCCTCTAGTGCACAGAGACACCCTGTCTCAACATAGTAAGGCAGAGAATAACAAAAGAAGTCAACATTCTCCTCTTATACAGTAACTTGTATACACCATACACACAAAGAATGAAAATATTCTCATTTTTTCTTCTCTCTCTTTTTTTAAGTTTAGTTTAGTTTTGATCTTTGTTTTGTTTTGTTTTGTTTTTGAGACAGGGTTTCTCTATGTAGCCTTGGCTGTCCTGGAACTCACTCTGTAGACTAGGCTGGCCTCCAACTCAGAAATCTGCCCGCCTCTGCCTCCCAAGTGCTGGGATTAAAGGCATGCACCACCATTGCCCAGTTTGTTTTGATTTTTTATGAGTACGTTTTATTAAGGGCAGGCTGACCTTTAATTCAATATGTAGCCAAGCATTACATTAAACTTCTGTACTACGCCTATGTCCCAAATGCTGGGATTTCAGAAGTGTGTCACCACCTCTGCTCTTTATTTTCCTTCCTTACTTAAGATCCAGATAATAGGGGACCTGGTTGTTTAGAGAAAGAAGGGAAAGCAATGGGTGGAGGAAAAGGGTAAGCTGTTAGGAAGAACAGTAAATCTATAAAGCGGAGAAATGACAAGCAGAAATGAGCTCAGGGGGGAAGGGTCAGAGGATACAGGGAGGGACAGACGTGTGTTCTAGCCACTACATAGGTACCTTACCAGCTTCTCCTCCTTTGCTGGTGGGTTCTTCAGGAAGCAGCAGAGAGGGGCATAGATGATGTTGATGGTACCAATGATGACCATGAGCCAAGGGAAGCCGATGACCTGTACAATAACACCCCCGGTAGATGGGCCTGTGGAAAAATAAAGCAAATTCCAAGTGGTTGTTGAATCGGTCACCTATAAAACACTATCCTAGGGACAGTGGGTAACCACAGAGACTGAGGCAGATTCCACTATCATCAGATCCCTAAGAGAATGAGGTCTTTGGTTCGAGATCCAGGTAAACCACAATGGAGATGGGGACTGGGTCACTCAGGCCTGGGAACTCCCGTCTAACCCAACCAACATACCAATAGCAAAGCCCACACAAAAAGCCACATCAGCGATGGCGTAGACACTCCCATACACAGAGCTGTGGCGAAAGTCCACCAGGTATCCCATGATGGGCATCAGAGAGGAATCCACCATGCCTGCGGCCAAAACAAGCAGGATGCTGTTAGTCAGCTTACCCATGGCATCTCCCTCCACTCTGCCCCCATTTAGTCTACTCTCTGGGCCTGCTGTCTCCACACTCAGCACCAACAGAGGACCAGGTAGGAACCACGAGCCCACACTGCACATCTGCCAGCTTCTCTCTCATCCCTGCCTTTCCACCTGCCTCTTCTGATGGGAAAATGGGGAGGAAAGGAACCTGACTCAAAGGACATTTTCGCAGGTGTCTTTTTCACTTTGATGTCACTGCTTACCTATAGCAAAGCCAAGGCCTGCATTGGGGCCAATGAGACCAAAAATATTGTGAGCCAGAGGTACCTAGAATGGGAAGGAAGAAGAGTTCCTCAGAATACCACTGGCCTAGGAAGGGCAGGGTGCAGAGTCTTTGCAAGACATGTATTTGTGACATCTGCCACATGCTTTGCCTCTGATTTCTCATACCTTCTTTTGAAGAATAATCTTCCTTTCCATCTCGATCACATGAAAACTGGGCTGGTATTACCCGAACTTACAGTAAGCAGCAAGATCAAGTTCTAATTTCAGACTCAACTATAATATATTCTATTATATTGTATTATATTACATTATATTATTATATTATATTGTATTCTATTATATTGTATTCTATTACATTATATTATTATATTATATTGTATTATATTATATTGTATTATATTATAGCAAGGATATATTCATGAACACTAACACTCTCTACCAAACACACACTTTTGTGTTCATTCATCACTGTATGTTGCCATCATTGATACTATCAAGCTTGCTTGTTATTTATTTCACAGTACTGGGGATCGAACATAAGGCCTTGTGAGGCTAGCCCCCTCCTCACTTTTTTTATTTCGTTCTGAGATGAGGTCTCACTGAGTTAATTGCCTAAGGTAGATTTGAACTCACTCTGTAGCCTAGGCAAGCCCTGAATCCCCGATCCTGCTATCTTAGTCTCCTGGAGTAGCTGGAGTTAAAGACCACCAAATTTGGTCCCTGGGGTTTTATTTGAAACCCAAACTTGGTAGCCATTTTAGCAAAAAGACAAAAAATAAACCCAACATTTAGCAGCTTAACAACTGGAGAGACAAATGGCACCATTTGGGTGCAACAAGAACAAGCAATGGCATGCATTCACCCCTTTCTGAAAGCAGCATCCCTACCCCTCTTTTTGGTACCTCTTACCCAATACCACTGACCCATCACATAGGCACTGAAAGGTTCAGCATGCCATTCAGCACTGGCAGCTCTTTATGGAGCAACACCTCAAGTGGTGCTCATATTTGTAAATGGCAGGGCTGACTTACTGAGGCTTTTCACGTGCCCTCTCCAGTCTGCAGTCTAGGTGGATTTCTCCAAACACCCTGTGAGATGTAAGCCAACTCCTTGTAAGAGAACACTGAGCAGAGAAGTGGTGTGAGTAGCTGAGGGCCACACAAATGGCAAGTGGTAAAGCTCGAAGGGAGCTTTGAGATCATGCCCATCACCAGGGGCTTTAAAAGCTCAACCTGGGTGCAGCACTCAGAGCCTTATACCTCTGTTTTCATATCCCTTTAGCTGGGAGCCAGATGGACTGATGGTCTCCACTGAGGACAGGTGACAGTAACAGCCTGGAAGCACAAAGGACTCCTCAAGATGGAAATCCCTACTTTCTTTCTTTTACCAAATTTTCTGCTCCTAGAGACTGAGCCATAAATGGTGCACGTCCTGGTGGCTAGTGGAGATTGTCACAGTAGATTGACTAAGTGGATTTATAAAATACCATTGGCTGGCAAGCTCCAGAAATAGATCCCAACACACTTCAATTCACATGTTTATGCACAGCCTCAGGCCTCTGGTTCCACTGCCCTATTCCTCTCCTTTTACACGTCCTGCTGATGGTACGCCACTTCTGTTCACAGCATCCCCTTGGGTGCCAATTTCTGAT